ATAGCACGTGGCATAAAAAAAAGAGGCGTGTCTGATGCAGTATTATATATTTATGTGACTGAATAGTTTGTATATTTGCGCAAAGCTACATAATGTCTGTGGTGCGCAAGCCGTCCCTAATTTGGAATTGATAGACTAGAGTGAGGGCAGCTAATAAACAGCACCTACCGCAAACTCTTGAACTTATAATAAATAGCACCTACCGCAAACTCTTGGACTTATTCTTACCTGATCGAATAATGGGATTTGGCGGTCACCACTGTTTCGCATCCACGACCCGGAAGCACGATTTAATTTTTTGCGATAACGGGACGCGAACGCCAGACTCTTGGATCAACTAGTCGACATGCTAACTACTAGGACTGTATTTAAGGAACTTAATAACAAATTTGTTTTTCTGTTGTAACAGAGGAAGCATATGTTTTGATTTTGCCAAGTGACACGAAGCGTTTGCTGGTTTCGTGTTGGGCTCATTTACTAGTCCGATTTAATGGAATAAATATAGACAAATGGCCTACATATTACTGGCATGTTGCACTATTATTGAGGATTTTACTCTATCTGTACGAAGCGCCTAAAATACCGATTTTTGTGTCATTCTGTTGGTAGCTTTTATTTTTTTAACTGCTTTTTAAATTTTGGCTGACCTTTTTTCGAACACATGCAAACAACACAAAACGACTATATGTCGCAAGAAAATCCCACAACACTACATTTACTACTTATCATCAATATGACTACAACCAAGAAGTGTTTTTGGTGTGTTCGGAGGAAAACGAAGTTTCACAATAAAAAGGATAAGGTTGTTTATCTTATAACAAAGCCACATCGAGCTATCTGCTGTGTCCACCGAGGGGAATTGAACCCCTGATTTTAGCATTGTAAATCCGAAAACCTACCTCTGTCCTACCGGGGGAACAATAAAAGAGCGAAAGAAAAAAAAAGTTAAAATACATTTCATGTTACACGTCGACATAAACAGTTATAACATGAATCCCGTATCTTATTCTACACACCATAAGAATCTTACAACCATATGTCAAATGCGAGTATTCACAACATTTTTTACTGTAAATTGTTTACAAAAGTAGACGTTAATATTTTACTCGTAGAAACTTACACAAATATTATTTTTTACTCGCAGGGAAATATTCTTTGTTAACAAGGCCACCCGTGGAGGGGGATCTAATCCCCCAAAATACAAATTACTGTGTAATAAAAACTGAAAAAAAAAGAGAGGTGAACCAGGGGAAAAAAATGTTGATGAAAAACAGAATGTATGAATCATATAAGAAAGAGTTCTCTGAAACATAATATTTGTTTTTAATTGTATTTAAGTGGCGTTCTGTCAAGAAGAGCTTTAGCTTGAATTTTATAAACTAATCTTTGTTGTTAGGTGAAAAGCCTCCATGATAATTTGATTAGCATGACTGAATATGCTAATTAATTAGATAACTTTCAAAACAATTTCATACAATATTTAAGGCCCTATGGACATCTCTTTACGTGATTTTGGCAGTTAGAGGTGTTGACAATTCGAGATACATAAATACATTTGATACAAGTACGGTTACAGTTTAAAATATGTCTAACAGACTGTTCGCTTAGCACTAACGAGAGTCAATAATAAACAGATAGAACCTCCTTGCGTTCTCTTAATTAACGAAAGAAACGTTATAATTAATATTTCATTATATGATAATATTATTACAATAATTACTCTGTACTTAAAAATGTTAGCATCTAGTAGTTGCTACATACCACGTGCTACATTGTTGATCTTTAGTATTGTTTCTGGGAGTTACAATTATATAGACATTCATGCTCTTACGGTTCTACAGCAATTAACTGCTACAAGTGCAAAAGAAGTCTAATTTTTCCCAACAATCCTTTATTTCTGATTTTAAACAATACTGAAACAATAAAGGTTGTATTCACTGCACACTAACATTTCAGCAAGACTATGCCGATTTTTTTCGTCTGTGATAAACGTTACTTCTACGCTCGTTCTATACAAATAAAGCTGTTTTATTCTACGTGTAAGTTTGTTAGTTTAACTGCCACGAGTGTAAGGAACCAGATATCGGTTTGAATCGTTTTCCAATGCAACAAGATCGACTAACCAGCTGGCCACCCTCCATCAAGAGATGGTGATTGTTTTTACATACAAGCAGAACATAACACACGTGCATGACATAGTTCACCACGAAAATGCTCTCAAGAAATGCTTGTTTCGCGATCCACTCCGTGAAGCACAAAAAGTTCAATCAAAGAATGAACCTCCCTTAAAACATGCTTGTTTATAAGAGCATTACCTGACAAACTGTTGAATCATCAAAATCAACGGCGGGTTTAAAGCGAGACAAAACAAAAAAATAGGGGCTCTGAATAACTGATCCGCATACTACTCTGTAACTGATAGCACGCCTTAGTAAGCCTGTCCCCCCAACCACCCCACAAAAAAAAGAAAAAAACATTAATCGGGATAAACTTTTCTGATGTAGTTTTTGGAGATTTAAAAACCGATCGCTCAAGATTTTGAAAGACAGATTTCAAATAAACGTAAACTTGAAGAAAATCCTTACGTTATAAAAGTATTGATAAACTTGAAGAGATCGCTGTGACGTGAGGAAACTACGCCAAACATCCGTGTTCGTGGTATTTTAGTAAAGAGTAAATTTTGAGATCCTCTTCACGTAACGTATAACTCAAATCGAACTATAGGTGGCGGGTCAATTTTCTCGTCACGTTTAAATAACAGTGGATATGTGATTCAGCTCGAACATACTAAGAAATTGAGTTTGAAAGCGTTGTATCGATTTCATAAGTACGTAACGACGTCGGTATTTGACCCATTATCGTTGCTAGCGAACTACAAGGTGCACTACTGTAAACATTTTTACCAATCGTTACTAAAATATCCTCTGATAGCATAATAGCATTCTGAAGAAAAAAATGTCATCGTTTCGATATATCGGAGTGGAGAAATCCCCACAATGATTACACTAAGAAATATAATATCTTGATGTCATCGTTTCGATATATCGGAGTGGAGAAATCCCCACAATGATTACACTAAGAAATATAATATCTTGAATGTCATCGTTTCGATATATCGGAGTGGAGAAATCCCCACAATGATTACACTAAGAAATATAATATCTTGATGTCATCGTTTCGATATATCGGAGTGGAAAAATCCCCATAAATGATTACGACTTAAGAAATTATAATTAGTCCTTAGATCGTACTAATCCGTTTACGATTAATAGTCGGAAGTGGGAATAAAATTCCCCC